ATAAATCTGAACTGGGAGTAAAATATATGGATTATGAAAGAGCAATTTCCATTCAGGCTGTTCTTTGGCACTGTAATCCCTGTATGTACTCTCATCACTTTAAAGCAGTTTCTCATGCAAACTGAGATCCCAGTTTTTCTTAACATTAAGCCTTTAATTCAGTTTCTGCTGTTGCATAACCGGTTTGTGATCCTAGTTGTTTCTCCACATCGGATACACTCAAACTCTTCTGGAGAACTAGTGGGAAAAGCTTAAACTGTGATAAAATCTAATACAGTCCAGGAATGTTTCCTTAAGCTCATTAAGAAAATTGGAAAACTTGTTGTTAGTGCTTATCTGAAAACTTCCTTTCGGTGGATGGTAGGAAGGTGCTCAGCAGCAGGAGGGCAATGCCCTGACACATGCAGATCTTCCAGCAGCAGCACCAGATTTACAGTGCCAGATACCTGAATTATGTTGTGTTAAGCCTACTTGGAGGAGTGAACATTCTTTCTCCTTTGCAGCCTCACCCCCCTCAATTTTGCTTTTTACATTGAAACGAGACACCTGTGCCTTTTAGATGTGCTGATTTGCTCTGTTCTGGACAAGGTTCCCCCAGACTGAGCTGCCTTTATGAACTACCATTTGAATGAAGTTTACTCAGCGGTGGGATGCAGAATCAGGTGGATTGTTAATCTTGTTTGTAAATGTAGTGACCGTAACTCTCTTGTGCCCTGCTTCCCCCTCCAGATCAGGGCATGGAGACACAATTTTTCAAAGTGAGATTTTTTTTCTCCAAGGCTCTTCTGTGTGGAGGGGTCTCTTCGCGGACAGTTAATGGCCAGGGAGCTCAGCTGAAGGTTTTGCTCTCAGACTAAAGCTGTTTGCTCCTGTGTTGAAGGAGACAGGTGCAAATTGATGGTTTAAATCCAAAGGGGCTGGTGGAGAGTCTCACAGGTAACTCTGAGATAAATGAGCTGCTCAGCTCACCCGGCACCTTGCACTGGTGACCCATCATCTGCAGTGGGGCTTTTCTCCTGCCAGGCAGCTCCAGTTCACCTTGCTGTCCGCATCCATTTCCTAGCATCCCCAGGGATGGTGTCCATCTTATTCTTCTTTTTGAAGGTTCAGAATAGGTTTGGTGTGCCAGAGGGTTTCCTCTGCACCCTGGTGGGGCCCTGAAGGCTTCTATGTTGAGAGAGGCCACGCCGTCTACCCAGAAGACAACCTCTCAGGAAAGTACAGGTTTGACATTTGCTATCAGCATTTCCCATCACCATTTCCCTTGCAGCAGGTGATAAGCTGATAGTGGTCACAGTGGGCAAGCTGGATGCACCCTGAGGATCCCTCTCACCAAAGAGGGACTGAGGGTGATGACTGCGTGAAGTGCTTTGGTTGCAGGGACTGCTTCAAAGGAAGAGGTGAGTTTATTTTCAGCGCTGACCTGAAGGTCGCACAACAAGCACGCAGGGGGCAGGCAGCAGGGAAAGGCTAAAAGAAACGGCAGGGCTGACAGAGCCATTTGCCCTGCCTTTGTTCACTGGTCCAGATGCAGATTATTGTCCTGCCCTAAGCGGCAGTCACTGCGCAGAGGTATCGGTGGGGCACAGCCCTCTGCGGCAGAAGGTGGGAAGGCTAATCTGCCCTGGAGGGTAGGACCACCTGCAGCGGCAGCTGGGGACGACAGCCTGTTGCAGCCTTAGTCATTATGTGTGTGCCAGAAAATCCCTGCTCTTGTGTTACACCTTTGTGTCTTGCACGGTAAAGGTTTTCAAGTCAGCCACAGGACACCAAGCATAGTCTTGTTACAGTTGGAAAGCAGGGTTGTTTGGATTGCTTTGATGGTATATGGCTTGCCCTTCACCCTGAGGAAGGAAACCTGCTTCTTCCCTTCCCTAGTCATCTGAGGGGTATTTCTTGGATTTTCCCTTCTCCTCTCCTACACTTGACTCCGTGAAGGTGACTGGAGGAAACAGCACTGAGGTGTATTTCCTCTTTGTGATTCTTTTCTGGTGATCTTTCTCCATGGAGGCAGGGAAGGAAACAAATTTGAGGCACAAAGTTTTCAAGAAGCTGGCAGCCACCAGGCTTTGGCTTTCTTTGTGGTCCCTGCAGTGCTTCCGGACCTCAGCATGTGCATGACACCAAGCTAAGTGGTGCAGCTGGTATGGTCCAGGAAAGGGATGCCACCCAGAGGAACCTGTAAGGGTCTCAAGGCTTGAGGAGTGGGCCAGTGTGGACCTCACAAAGTTCCAACAAGGCCAAGTGCAGGGTCCTGCACCTGGGTTGGGGTAATCACCAGTATCAACACAGGCTGGGGGATGAAGGGATTGAGAGCAGCCCTGCAGAGAAGGACTGGGGGTGCTGGTGGATGGAAAGCTGGACATGACCCAGCAATGTGTGCCCACAGCTCAGAAAGCCACCTGTACCCTGGGCCACATAAAGAGAAGTGTGGCCAGCAGGTTGAGGGGGGCAATTCTCCCCCTCCATTCTTGCGCGACCTCACCTGCAGTACTGCATCCAGCTCTGGAGTCCTCTGTGCAGGAATGATATGGACATGTTGGAGCAGGCCCAGAGGAGGCTCACAAAAATTATGAAAGAGAGAGAGCACACTTACCTTATGAAGACAGGCTGAGAGATTAGGGGATGTTCAGCCTGGAGAAGACTCCAGGGCTACCTTATTGTGGCCCTTTAATATATAAAGAAAGAGGGCCATTAAGAAATATGGATAGCAGCTTTTTACTAGAGCCTGTAGTGACAGGACAAGGGTTAACAGTTTTAAACTAAAAGAGCGTAGATCTAGATGAGATATAAGGGATAAATGCGAGGCTGTGGAGGTTGGAAACATGAGGGGATGGTGAGTGCAGGGAGGCAGCTGGGTGAGGAACTGAAAGAACGTGACTGGGGCCGACTGGATGCTCAGGGCAGCGAGTGGGTTCCAAAATCTCCAACTGAGCTCCTGTAAGTAGCAGCTACTTTTTGAGTCTCTCCATATAATGTGTAAAATTGTTCCTGTTAACAGGAAAGGGACCCAAAATGGATTGACTGTGAGGAACCCAAGTGTCCAGGGAAGGAACACTATAGCGATAGTCCACATGGAAACTTTGTGCACCTTTTTCTAAAGACTGAATTACCTTGCAACAAATGAGGCCTTTACCACACACACAAAGAAAAAAGAGACAGAAACAACACTCACAGAAGACTACTGCTATTGCACAGTGATGGCAGGCAAGCATTTAAAAATGGGGCAGAGTAAGAAGCCTTGAGATTAAAATTCATATTGCACATGTATTTAAGGACTGAGTTAAGATTTACACATTATCCGCAGCATTTGCTAACCTTTTGAATGTGTCACTTCAAGGAGCTGCTTTCTGTTGTTTGTGTAAGTTAATAGCAGTGTGTCATCATGTAACCAAGCCTGCATCCAAAATGTGCAAGCTGCAGAGGTAGCGCAGGAACAGGCGTGCAGGCAGAAATGCCTAGCGAGCGGTCAGCTGCGGCTGTGGCTGCGTGACAGCTATCCCTGTAACAGACTTTCCAGCTGGTTACAGCATACCTGTGAAGGTCTGGGTTTGGGCAGAACGCTGGGGATCTTAATTTCATAACTGTATCGCTACTGCCAGCCATGGCTCGTTTGGAAAAACTCTTCACTCTGTGAGCATAATGACGCTACGAAGCTTGTTGGTGTTGAAAGCGTTAAAAAGATGCTTAAGGTATTATGTAAACGGTAAATACTTAAAGTCTCATGTAATCGCTTCTAATCAGAACTATGCTTTTTGTTTGTCTTATATTACCTTAAACATAATCCATTGAGATCTATGTGTGTGTGTGTGTGTACATATATATGTGAAATACACAATAAATAGCTCTTCTGTGGTTCAAAAAAGCCTCATCTGGCAATGACTCTGAGCCAGACAAAACTAAAAAGAGTGAGTGCAGCCAGAATCAAAATTGCCTCTTCCCTCCTCTCAAGCTGACGAAACTTAAGTACTTTGAGCAGCCTTTTTCCTCACTCCCTCATCTATGAAGACCAGTGATCTATTTCATCTGCCTCAAAGGACTCTTGAAAGATGTTCTCTTAAATCTCTTTTCTCCTCCCTGGGGGCACACAATTACTGCTGTTCACTCATGCTTTGCATGTTTAGGTTTGGAAGGACACGTGTACTTTCTGTCATCGTTACAGCATTCCCATGAAAATGTCCGGGGCAGCCAGTATGTTCGTGATTCAGTCTCTTCCCACCACCAGCTGTAGAGTCAGCAAGCTCAACCTTGTCTAGGTGGTTACAGAAGCAAGTGGTATCTTTACTAAGCTGATAACTGACCAATGTGCTGCCTCTCAGGTTCTGACCTGTGCTCAGTGAGATGGAAAAACCATAATAGGGAAGTGCAGGAGGACCAAAACACTGCCTTAGACACTGCAGCTAGTTCCTCCCATCAGTATTCTTCAGGGAGCACATGATCAGCGTGTGCCAACCCCTGTGCCTCAAAAGATAAGAGTGCTTCACTAGCCCAGGTGAAACAGGTCACTTCAGCTGTGATTCAGGCAAGCACTTGAGTGTCCTTTGTTTTCTGAGCAGTGTGGCATAAGGCAAGAGGATGAATCGACAGGCACGGTATCTGTTGAAGGCTGTCTGTCCTAGCTGCGTGCTCAATTCCTTATGTCATGGGAGAGGAAAGGAAGTGGTTGTTAGCACAGGTTTGGCAGTGCTATGGTTGCAACCTGTTAACAGCCCATTGCTGTTTGGATTGCTCTGTGCAGGATGAAGACATTACAATCAAACACATTTCAAATGCAGGAGTCCAGCTTGAGAGACTGATGCAAACCCCCTTGTTAAAACATGTGCTGAACATCAATTTTATTACATCATGCGATAGCGGTATTGTTATATTGGGTGATTTGATACACACTTCAGCAACGTGTAGAACAATGCACTGTGAACTGGTCTCCAGTTTGGCATGTGACACCCAGTGTCTGTCCTTTCCTGAAGCTCCAGCTCTCTGGCACAGCCCCAGAGATGACTTCACACTAACGTGGCAAGAGCCTGGACGTTGCGGGAGCTTTCTGAGGTCCTGTGGGCGGCATGGTGGTTTCTGACACTTCTGTCTCTAATGCTGCTTTTGGAGCTGTGCTGAGCCTTGGCCATGTGGCTCTGGAAGGCACGGACAGTTCGGATAGCAAGGATGCAGACCACAAAGCTGGCGAAGTACAAACAGGCAGCAACAACACCAAAAAGGCCGACGGCTGCATCGCCACCCTGGACCACGCAGTTCATGGAGGTGTAACCACGGCGCGCATACAGCCTCTCGCGCCTCTTGCAAACCTCTGTGGAGTTCACCTGGCTGACAAAATGCAGGTAGAGGCCGACTGCCGCGACGTACGCCACGCCAGCCACCAGGTTGAAGGCGCATTCGCCTGCCAGCAGCCCTGTCCTGAGCTGCTGGATGGGTTTTGCCCCCACGACAAGGAAGACAAGGGTGAGCGCTGCTGCTGTTAAGCTGAAGGCTACTCCGCCATACACGCACGGGGCTCGCATCTGGGTGAACTGCATGTCTAGCTCCCTCACCTCCTGGAGCTCCGTGCCCTCAAAGGGGGTATAGGCCGAATTCAGGCTAAAGGAGCCGCTGCCAAAGCCACCAAGGGACGTGAAGCCTGCAACAGAGGCTTGGGCAGCACCCACACAAACCAGCACCAGAAGGTTGACCATGATTTCCACAAACTTCAGAATGCCTGTAAGGAGCAGAAGGATGGAAATAGGTGTCAAAACCATGCCTTGTGCAAACTGGGTATGACACAAGTACCCCAAAACCATAGACAGAGAGCACCATTCTTGAGACAGTCCCCTTGGCTACAGCTGCTTTATAAAACCCCAAACAAGCACAAGCTGTCGTTCCAGAGGTTGGGCAAAATACCTTTTTTTAATTTGTCAGTGTGTTGATAAATGGATCTTCACACGGGGAAAGAAACCCATAAAAAATGTACTGTGCTGCTTGGGTTATTGCCAAGGCAAGCACACAGTGATTGTATTTTGGCCTATAACTACTTGGCATAAACACACTGAGCAAGAAGTATCCAGTATGAACAAAATGCTGAGGTTAAAGCTGACAAAAACCTAGAAGCTTCTAATGGCTTAAAAAATTGGGCAAGCTATTTATGTCCTTTGAAATGTCTTTACTGCTTTAACTTACACCCCTTTTTTGCCTGTTTGTTAATTTAAACAAATTATCTAACCAGATACAACTTCCGCTTCGTGTCCTTCAGAGATAAAAATCTCTTCATAAATTTGGAGAAGCAGTTCCCAGTTGCCCAGAAAAGGAGGAGGGAAGGAAGCAAAACCCAGTTTATATGCAAAGGTAAGCTAAGTGAATTTGCTACCGGGTCATTTGTTCTCTTTCACACCCCCACATTCAGAAGAAAGGCTTATGACTTCTGAGCTGATTCTTCTTTTTCTTATGTTTTGCTACTGATAAAGGTAACTGTGGTTTTCTAAGGCGGGGGAAGGGGGAGCAGATAAATGACTTTTTTCTGTAGTAGCCACCTGTCAGGAAGGTGCAGCATCTGTTAGATAAATCTGATTATTCTGTGACAGCTCACTAGGGGTCAGACTAAGATTAGTAAACATGACAGATGTTGAAGCGCAGCATAGCTAGAGTTGCCTGTTCGGGAACTGAAACCCCCTAGTGTATCACGTGTGCTGCTCCTCAGGTTCTGAAACTGATTACAGAACTGTGAATCTTAATTCTTCCATTGCAGGCTGACAGCCAAGAACATAAGATGCTCAATACAGCATCTTTCAAAGTGGGGCTGGATCTACAGTTTGCACACAGACTTTCATTTTATGCTGCTAACACTGATCAGCATGGCATTTTCCTCTTGAGCAATAGCTCAGTTGCTGTCAAGGCTGTAATGGGCTTGAAAACAAAGGGATGAAGCAGCACACAAGACAATTATACAGATTCCTCTCTTGTCTTGGCAGATGCTTCTAACCGCGATAGCTTGTGACAGCCATCATGAAGGATTATTGGATATTCCCGTTCTGCCCCTCTTTATTTCCTCCAGAGAGGGCTGAGGTACTGAGCACCTTCCTGCTGCCACTTGCTCTTCACAGGAAGATGCTTGCACTGCTTTGACAAGGGTCTTTGGCCACTTCAGGAGTTCCTGCTTTCCCCTGTACCCAGATTAGCCCCCTCACTTCTCCTGCTGCAGGTAGGTACAGGTAGGCACCTCCTAAGTAGGTGGGTACTGAGCCCATTTTCACATCAGGGCCTTGCAAACCACCCCAGAAGTGCAAAGGCGAGCAATGATAACAGTGGTAATGCCTGGGAAGAGCATATCTGAGGCTCACTCAGCATGTTTCAGTCTGTGTGTGTGTGTATAGACAAGTGCATACATTATATAGACTTCATATCCTAAAAGGAATTAGGTAGAGCAGGCAGAGAAGACAAAGTGCTCTTGTTGAGAAGGAACTAAACGTGCAGTTCTATGTACGCATTCTTCAGAGGTGACGCTGATTTTTGCATCACAACATGCCTTTTCCTTGATCATCCCAAACAACCATTTCTGTGAAGCAGGTCAGTAACAACGCTGGTTACCAAATCTGTTCAGATGGCTTCAAGTATTTCAAAGGAAATAGATGTGAAGCTAAATGTAAAGAGAAATTTAAAACCATGAGGCAGGATTTGGAACTCCTTGTACCAAATTCAAACAATGCAGCCAAATGACTCAATGTTTTTCACGGGTATAGAATCATCACTTTACCAGGACTGTTCAAAATATTTTGAAAGAGTAATAGCTGCACAGGACATCCACTGGAACTGGATCAAATATTTTTTGTTTACTCATTTGAGCTGTATAATATGCCTTCCAAATACAGGGAGTCAACGTAGGCCCTCAGGGCCCTTGGACAGTGTTGCACACAGAAGGCCACTTCCCTTTTTAAGGGCTGACTACTGTTTTCATAGAAACTGTTCCATCAGGAAGCAGTTCTTTCTTACAAGTCTACAGGGAGGAAAGACCATTTGATTAAGGGAAACATAAATTTTAAATATGTTTGGGAAGTTGGGAATTCATGACCAGCCCAGCTTTCTTTTACTGATGTCTTCAAAATTTCCTTTTCCTCTATGACTGGTGAGGCACTCTGACCTGCTGAGCATCAACTTTTCCTGTACATCACCTTGCTGAGCTTTAGAAAAGGTAGTTTTCTCTTGCCAAGGCACTCAGCACCTGCTGCTAACCTCCCCACATTTGTAACTGTCCCCGATCCCCAATGATGCTGTTCTAAAACTTCCTATGTGTTCACACAAATTCTGCACGCAACCCCTCCATTTCACTGAGCTGACTACTGGTACCACAGTAGGGCTGTCTCTCTTCTCATGCCATAACACATGATCAGTGCAGGTCCACTGTATTTTTAACTGCAGCAGTAGATGCTTTCATGGCATGCTTGAAAAATTCCCTTAGACAGGGCGTTCAGGTTGGGCAGGTTTTGCATGTACCAGAACAGTTTTCACACACACCTGCTACAAAATTGATTAGAGTAACTAAACAATGGAGAGAGGTTCATTAGCAGTTACTCCACCAGTTATTTACATCACACGTATTGACTTTAAAAAAATCCACCACCACCACAACAGAAAACGTGCAATAACAAAGCCTCCTGTATTAAAGAAAATCCTATCCTAACAAGCAGTATGTAGAATGAAGCTGTGAATTTCAGGTCTACAAGGAGAGCCAGTAGGGCTTGTGAAAGCAGCAGACAATTGCTGGAAATCCCTAAACCCTTGTACAACCTCAGGGCTTTGATGGAAATAATATTAATGTTCAGATTTTGACCGGGGCATCCCAAAAGCCTTGTGCAACCTTGATCTGTGATAGCTACAAGCTGATACTTAATCCTACTATACTAGTATAAACAGGATAGACAGACTTGAGAAATCAGAAATAAAAGGACAGTGAAGTTTTAGATCTTAGCTCTGTCAGGGTATGTCAATGCACACTTACTGGCAGTGACCTATGTCAAGCAGTGAACTGCTAGCAAAAAAGGCTGGGTTAAAAGCCACTCTTCTGAGTCTGTGTTGTCATTCTTGCTTTCACAGGCCAGTTAGCCATCTTAAGAGTCATAGCTGCAGAAACTAGACTGCCAACAGGTCTTCCTGCAGGGAATTTACACACTTTGGAGCCTACAAGGATGCTGGAGAGGGACTCTTCATCAGGGACTGTAGTGATAGGAGAAGAACTAACCCTCCCCATACTGAGCAAGCAATGAGCCTCGAGTCTGGGCTCCTGGATTTCCGTTTCCTTTTCCATGCTTCTTTCCTGCACTGACTTTCAGCACTGAAAGTGAGAATGGCTGCAATTTAAAAGACAGTTGTTGTTGCCAGAACTTTCCAGATAATTGTTTCATTCATCCCATAAAATCTCAGTCTTATGGACAGTGATGGACAGTAACTTCAGTGTATCGTATTTGTTAACTTTGCTTGAATCCAGACTTTTTTTTTTTTTGCTGTGAGTAGGCTTCCTGCTGTAATGAACAGCAGCCTTCCAGTACTACTAATGTCCTATTAACTTTTTCTTTCCCTTCTGTTGCAGGTGTATGCTGGGCTATTGACATGGTATTAACTGATCAATGTGTTTGTCTTCTGTCAAATGGTGGGCTCAAACTTCCAGCAAAGCAGGCAGGGAGGCTGTTAAGGGTACAGATCCACAGGCAGCTGACCTTACTGTAACAGCTACCCTTGGCTGGGCAGCCACCACTTTTCTCCCCTACCCAGTAATAACTCTGGCCTAGCATTAGGCCATTCCAAGAGCTGTTTTAATAAATTAAAATAGCAGGAAACAATTCAACTCTTTTCTTGTGTGCTGCTGGGTTGTTGGGTTTTTTTTCCTGCAACTTCAGCAACTTGAAGTGACTCAGAGAGTATCTGATGAGCAATCGTGCTGGCATGAGTTTAGCAGGGGAAATAACAGAGCCAGAACCAGAGAAAGACCAGAAACTCTACAGGTGAGGTGAGCTGTTAAATCTATATGTTCTGCCTCATAAAACTACACTGTGGCTGACTGTGTGGTACCCAGTAACTCAACTGTGTGCTCAGGTCTCACGCGATTTGTATCCAAGCACTGTGGCAGGATGGTGACAGTATTCAGGTGTCAGGATCACAATGTGTGTACATAAAGTAAAATAGCCAATTCATGGGTGTTCCTGTGTTTCCACAACTGTCAAATTTCTGGCTGTTTGTGTCAAGCTCCCCTCCCACGAGGACCTGGCTAATAGAGACCTTCAAAGCATCTCCCTCCTTTCCTTTGTTGACTGCACGCGGACTCTCTCCTGTCTCTTTTGGTATCATTTCCCCCTCATCAGTTAACATCCTTGTGTCCTTCTAAGATAACTAAGGTCTTTCATTCTCCATTCTGGTTTGCTTTCTCCCTCTGCTTCCTTTGCAGTAACACCGGGACCAGCAGTACCCAGCCGGCAGCCCCAAGGGGTGCCCGTTGCCCCCCTCGGCCACCTCGACATTAGTGTCAGGACAGCAGCGCTGGTCAGTGGTGCCTGTGCCGCATCCCGTTAGGGGTCGCTCCAGGAGAAGGGATGAAGGGAGCTAAGAGGCTAACCACACGTATTAAAACTCATTCTCCCAGCCTTCCTCGCTGAAAATTGTCTTTGGTTTATTTCCCAGTTCGGGTAACTTTCCGCTTTTCAGAGGTATTTCTTTTTTTACCCCCAAA